ATATTAGTAATAAGAAAGCTTTTTCATTTTGAATTCTACGACAGAGTTTTGTGAAAGAAGAAAAGGTTTCATCTTTGTGTGCTAAAAACATAACCCATGTAAATCTTGAATAATCATCAACAATAACAAGACAATAATGTTTACTACCTCGACTAGATGTCCTTGAGGGACCAAATAAATCCATATGCAATAGTGGTAAAGGTCTAGTCGTGGAAATATGAGATTTTGATTTAAATGATGTTTTAGTTTGTTTTCCTTGTTGACAAACACTACAAAGATGATCTTTTTCAAATTTAATTTTTGGAAGTCCAATGACCAAATCCTTTCTCAAAAGTTTAGCAATTAAATCCTTATGAGCATGACCAAGTCTTCTATGCCATAACCAATTATTTTCATTATTAACATATAAACATTTAACATCACTAGTATAGAGATCATTAAGATGAAAAACATAAACATTATCATGGCGATTACCAATGAATAAAGCTTTATGATCATTTGTGCTTTTAATTGTGCAATGTAATTTATCAAAAATAACTTGATTACCTTTATCACATAATTGACTAATATTAAGTAGGTTATGCTTAAGTCCATCAACAAGTAAAACATTTTCAATAGAAGGGTTAGGAGAAATACCGATGCCACCAATACCGATGATTTTTCCTTTCTTATTGTCTCCAAAAGTAACAAATCCTCCATCTTTCGATGATAGTTTAGTAAATAATGATTTATCTTTGGTCATGTGTCTGGAACATTCACTATCAAGGTACCACTTCCCTTCTTTAGCTTTGGACTTAAAGCAAACCTATAAGATGACAATCAAGTGTTGGTTTTTGGTACCCATAGTTTCTTGGGTCCTTCTTGGTTAGTTTTGTCAGATCCCTTAATAGTCCAAATCTTTTTAATTTCCATGTTCATATTCTTTTTGAATGGACAATAAGATATATAATGACATTTCTTTCTACAATAATGACAAGTAATATGAGGGTATGTCATGAGAGGTGCCTTTTAAAAATTGTATTGAGATTCTTTTGTTTCTTAATATGGTCATATCCAATACCCGCTTTATCAAAAATACATCTTTGATTTCCAAGAAGCATGTTGAGATTATCTCTATATTTTACAAAATTTTCAAGTGTTTTTGTTAAATCATCAACATTGTTTTTTAAAGTAGTTTTCTCATTAGAGATAATATCAAAATTATTTTTCAAAACATTTTTTTCTTTTTTTAATTCTTCTACATTAATAGATAAAGATGCAACAGATTTCTTCAACACATTATTTTTGGCACAAACTTTTCTAAATTCATCTTGTAGTTCATGGAATGCACTTTCAAGTTCTTCATAAAGAGTAGTTACCTCATCCTGAGTAGAGTTTTCATCTTCAAGAGCTATGAGACACAAGTTGGCTACTTCATTTTCAATTTCATCACTTCAACTTTCATCTTCACTTTCTCCCCAAGCTGCTACCATGGCCTTTTTGTTTCTTTTGTAGTCTTTTCCATGATTCTTCAATTTTGGACAATCCATCTTCATATGTCCAGGATTTTTGCACTCATAGAAATGAATAGGCTCTTCTTGTTATCTTTGTTGTACTCTTCTTGAAAGGTCTTCTTTCCTCCATAATTGTTTTTCTTGAAGTGCTTTTTGAGATTTCTACTAAACATTGGCATAGTTTCATCCTCACTAGAGTTTTCATGTTTTTCTTTATTTGATGAGGCTTTGAATGCAATTCCACTTTTCTTTTTGTTTTCAACATCCTCATGTCCTTTCATGGTGATCTCATAAGTCATAAGGGAATCCATAAGCTCATCCAATCCAAGTGTGGAGAGATTTTTGGCTTCTATAATGGCCGTGACCTTTGCTTTCCAATTCTTTGGTAAACACCTAGGAATTTTCTCACCAACTCACTGTTAGTATAAGTTTTGCCAAGAGATTTCAAAGAGTTTACAATTTCAGTAAATCTAGTAAACATACTTGAAATAGATTTATCAGAGTTCATTTTTAACAATTCATAACTATGAACAAGCATATCAATGCGAGATTTCTTAAGTTGGTTTGTACCTTCATACGTTACCTCAAGTTTGTCCCAAATTTCTTTTGCCGAATCACAACTTTAAATTCTATTATACTTCTTAGAGTCTAATCCACAAACAAGGGTGAGTTTGGCTTTAGCATTGGCTTGCAATAATTTATGATCCCTCTCATCGCATTCATCTTCAGTTTTAGGTACACTAATATTGTCTACTAATTTGGCAGAAATTTTTGGACCTTTGGTGACAATAATCCACATGGCATAATCAGTGGCTTGTAGGTATATGGTCATCTTATTCTTCCAATGACTATAGTTGTTTCCATCAAACAATGGTGGCCTATTTGTGGCTTGTCCTTTAGCTAAGTTTGCCATGGATCGAAACTCCCAGATGGTTAAATCTAAGACAAGAGTCTAGGCTCTGATACCAATTGTTATCCAAACCACAACCTAAGAGGGGGGTGAATTAGGTTTTTACAAATAAAAATAATAATATTCTAATAAAAATTATGACTAGCACAATAGATAAATATAGTTGATGAAATAAAAATAACTAAAACAAGTGTTCTAACAACTATGTTAATTAATGATTTTAGCACAATAAAAATATGAAACATAGCTATGGCAATTTAAATAAAATAGAGAGATAAGAGAAAGAGAGGCAAACAAATTTATAGTTGTTCGGCTTCAACTCGGCCTACGTCCACTCCTCAAGCTTCACTTGAGATTTTCCACTATTCTCTAGCTTCACAGGGTGCTAGCAACCTTTTCACAGATGGAGCAATCCTCCACGGGTTTTACACAGACTTTTTAAATCAAGAACACTGAGTGTACTACACTCTTACAAGGTTGAAAAGAAGGTGTTTTTGCTTTCACAGAAAGCTACAAGAATTATCTCTCAAAGATAGATATAAAAATGAAGCTCTGGTTTTTCTGTAAAGCTCACATAGGAAAGATGGGTTTAAAGTTATACGTCTCGTTGTATAATTTTTGAAAGAGGATGTAAACAAAAATTGAAGAACACTTCTCAGAGAATTTTTTAGAGAATAGATGTGAGTGATTATAGATCAAAGAATATTTTCTAGTTTCTTTTGTAACTTGTTTACAGTAAAGGCTTTGGTATATATAAGGAAACTCATAACCGTTTATAGCTGTTGTATTCATTTAAATTTATAGCCGTTTATAGCCTTTGTATTCATTTGAATTTATAGTCGTTTATAGCCATTGTATTCATTTGAATATCTTCCACTCTATCATTACTAACTTAAATATCTTCTACTAGAACCTTTTGGTCTGCTGCTGTGCTGGGTTGTTTGAACCTTTTGGTCTGCTGCTGTGCTGGGTTGTTTGAACTTTTTGGCTTGCTGCTGTGCTGGACTGTTTGAACCTCCGGTTTGGGCATTATTTTTGGGTTGAAAAGAATTCCTGATTTAAGCAAATATTAAATATATTCAAACAATATTTAGGATAATAGGTGAGAAATAATGAGACAAAATAAATTTTGATTCTACTTTTCTCTTTCAAATAAATTAAAACATAATTAAATAAATCATTAAAATAAATTTTGGATTCTATTAAAACATAATTAAATAAATCATCAAAATAAATTTTGGATTCTATTTTTCTTTTTCAAATAAATTAAAATATAATTAAATAAATCATTAAAATAAATTTTGGATTCTATTTTTCTCTTTCAAATAAATTAAAATATAATTAAATAAATCATCAAAATAAATAAGTCTAACAAATTTATGATGATACAATGCATTTAGTTTTTCAATTTACAATTGATTGCAAAATTCACTATTTTAGGGTGACAATTCGTGTGTTTTGTTATATAGATTGTCTATTTTTTGTTGAGCTGTCACTACTTTCTTCAAATTGATTGGAAAATTATTCTTTGAGATTTGATTTTCGTATCTTAATATGTAAACAATTTCTATAGACTACTATTTGTCAGATTATACTTTGCATTTGGCCTAATCCATGTTGTCTGTTTTATGTTATTTCAATTAGGGATTTGTTGTTCGAGGTATTGTGACACTTACCAATGTATCAGGTGTCAGCCACAAACTAATGGTAAGAGTGCTGACTTGATCTTTTATTTTGAATCAGTTTATTATAATTGAGTTATTACTTTGGACATGTAAGTTGATTTATTACTTTGGGCATGCAAGTTGTTACTACTTTGGACATGTCAGTTGTCCTTTTTTCTTTTTCTTTTTTCCCCTGGTTATACACATTTTTTCCCCTCTCATTGTCTTCTAATAAAATTATGTTCTCTTTTATTTTCATAGGATGATGAAGATTTACACCAAACTGTAATATGGGTTCTCTTTACTTATCTTCTTATTTCATTGAGAAAATTACAAGTTAGTGAGTTTTTAAATATGTTGTGAAGTTATCACCTATTTATAATTTTTCGTACTTAATTTACTCTTCTTACTATACATTTTCTTTCAAGTATTAATACTAGCAATACTTGATGGCTATTAGATGACTTTAAAATCTTTTTAATTTGACTATTTTGTAAAGCAACAATTTCTATTCTATAGTTGATGTAATTGACGATTTTCACATTAATTTGACAAACTAGATGAGTTAGAGGAATTTTCTTTTTTACCATTTAGCGGTTTTTCATAAGCGGTTTTATGAAAAGTGTATTGCTATATTGTTGGGATGCTATGGCATAGAGTTGATTTCTTCTTCATGATATGATGTGTTTAATTGTTTATGGCACCAAAATAAAAAATTTTAAAAAATGTGTATGAACCCCCATCAGATATTCCCTTAGTTTGTCACCGTGTAGGGGTAAGTTAACGAACTTTCACAAACCCTGCTGTAAGCGGGACCCTTGTCTACAAAAGCCACTGATTTCCACATGGGATATGCCACCAAGGGGTTTGATCAATCCTGAAACTGCTCTGCATCTTCACTGCACCATCACAGAACCATCTTGCTTCATTTTAAGGAGATTGCTCTCAATGCTCCGCAATACAGGTTTATAGCTGCAACATGGAGTTGACCCAAAGGAAGAAAAAGAATTGAAGAAATGGAAAGGGCCTCAGTCAACATCACTTGTAAAAGGAGGGACAAAAAAAAATAAAAAAAAAAGATCAGGGAAGAGAACGTACAGTCGTGCAAGACCATTGTATGCTTGTGTGGCCTGTTGGAGTTGTGCTGAGAGCTGCAAGACCTCTGCTGATAGTGCTTCTGCTCTGCTCTGTTCTTTAGCAAGTTGACCCTAAAAACAAAGACCACTCAAATCAAAATTTTAAATATCGACCGTCATATCAAGATTTTAGATTTTTGATATTGTTATGTTAAAATATGTTAATATATTTTATGTTAGTGCTTTAGGCTTTAGATTAGTGCATTTACTTTCGGTTAGTGGATCCACTTTTGACATGATGATGTTTGTAATGTTCTCTCCTATATAACGGAGAGTGTACCTCTTTATTCAATACACAAGAACAATACATCAATATATCAATCAATAATACATTGTATTTTATCATGGTATCAGAGCTATAAGATTTAGGCTTGTATTTTTTTTTTTTCTCACCGGCGGGCAGCCAGCCGGCAACCTTGCCTTCGCTGCCCGCTGGAATTTTTTTCTACACATACCTTCTCTCCCGCTGTTTTGATTCGGAGTTAGCAGAAGCGTCACATATTGATCCAAACACTGTCAAGCCACCACCGCTGCAACTCCACAGCCGGAACCATCCTCACCGTCACAGACCCACACTTTCCGGTGACCTTACCCACACTTTCCGGTGACCTTGCAACTTCGCGAGTATAATCGCACCACGAATCGCAGTCGCAACTTCCTTGCTACACTTCACACCAAGCCTTACGTAACCGTTCGAGTCACCAACAACAACAAAGTCCTTGAACCGGGTTCGCTGACCGGCCCGAGTCTGCTTCTGAACCGGCATAATCTTCATGACCTCGTCCTTCAATGAAGGACCAACCCAGATCCAAAGACCCGATTCCAGTCCGGCGAGGACATAAAAGTCAACCCTTTAGCACAAGAACCCTCCATCGCAAGCCTGAGAGGAGACCCATCATAGGACTCCACAGATCCGGGAGTTCTCGGACCGTCCTTGCATGGCTGAGTCCGGTACCGACCCGGATGGAGCCAGTACTCGAACACGCCGTGCGCGACCTCACAGGCATCACCTTTCTTCCAGTTCCCTTTTCGGAATTCGGGGCAAGCCGTACCCGAATCGAGGGGGCTTCACATCTTCACTTGTAGGCATCTTTGCCTTACCATTTACCTCCGAGGATCTTCACATCTTCATGCTGTTCATCTTTTAGACTGGATGTTGCAGATGAACTTGAAAGAAAGGATGGCAGCTCATCAGACCAAACTCTTTCTGAAGTTGTGTCTCTCATCCGTTTGTGGGAATCTACCTCCGAGGATCTTATTTCATGAGACAAGACCTTCTCATCTTCATTTTCTCGTGCATCATCTACTGTCAAGGGAACATAGCTGCTAGATAAAACGCCACTGATTCACGTGGCTTAATTTTGTTCTCCTCTGCAACCTCGATGATAAAGCAACAGACAACTACAACCGAGCTCTCTCTCTCTCTACTCAAGAACATCCACCTTTATTTTAATATTTCCAACCATTTATTTTAACCTTTTCTTCCACTAACCCACTGATTTTATATTTTATTTTATTACATACCCATCATTTCTTTTCACTTTTTCTTCCCACCACTTTCAATCAACTTGTCTTGTTGTTTGAATTTTCCTCTTTTTTCTTTCTTTTGCCTTTTCTTATCATGACACCTCACATGGGCTTGTCCCCTCTCTCTCCTCCGTTTGATTTCAAAATCTATTATTTTTATTTATTTTCTCCAAACCACTTTCTTTATTTTCCCCATCTTTCATTTTGATTTCAAATATATTTTTATTATTTCTTTCTTTATTTTTCTTTCACATTATTTTTAATCGTTTTCAAATTACATTCATACCATATAGCTTTGCACACCAAACCATATTTTATACCTCTCAGGGATAAACCCCGATCACATTTTTACACACAAAACAACAAAAAAAAAAAAAAAACAACAAAAAAAAAAAAAAAAAAAAAAAAAAAA